GTCTTATTACATATTATCTTTCAAATAACTATTTGTTTTTTAATGTTTGAGAATCGACGCTACTAAAAACTAGACCCCAAAATTCAGGTATGTCGGTTTATAAAACAACCCAATCTTAACTTTTCGTACGTGGTTTATTGACAGAAGAAAGAGATTGGCGCAAAATTCAAAATGATTTAAAAAGTTGATAGTTGATAGAAGTACTGATTCGTTACTTTAATTATTATAAGAAGAATGCGCAATAAGATTTTAGGACAACGAAAAATCGAACGACGCTAATAACACAGAAACGCACTTACAAACGGAAACTGTAATATTTCAGTTTCAACTACTGAACACAATAGATGAAATTCATGTACTGTCCGATATGGTTTAATAATTTACAGCTGAGAAATATGAGTGTGTCGGTTTACCATGTCAGTTTTGGTGCTTTTCTTTTATTAGATGCTAATTTGCTTTTATTAGATGCTGATTTGATACTAGTAAAATGCTAAAATGATAGCAATGGATCAAAACTCGAAAGACAGTACTGTAACTTATTCCCAATATTGCAAAAGTATCAAAAATTACACGGTGAAAAATAATTTGCTGAAAATAATTTGCACAGCAAAATGATTTATTAAGAACATTGATTATCATTCGCTGGTTTATTTTGCTAAATTAACAAATTACTTTACAGTACTTTACAATAAAAACAAATTAGTAACTATGACAAAATACTGTCGTTCACACTTGTTCTAACAATAAATTAACGCGTCCCTTAAATTCCTTCGGCGATATATTTTCTATTCCGAAAACAAAACTATTTTTGCTCTTGCGAACAGTTCGTTAATTTGATTACGCCAATTAAATATTATCGCAGTCGCAACGAATATGCAGTAGCAGCGATGCATGGTTTCGCTGCACTAGCAAAGTTACTTTTCCCCGCGTATCGATTCTCAATATTGAGACAGTAACGATTCCCAATAATGATTATCATGTTATTAATTATGAATACCATTACCATATTGTGAAGGGAAGGTCACAATATAGCCTGAATACTTATTTATACCCGCAATTGTGTACTACTTTTAATGCCACGTAAGATATGAAATATATCGGGGCGAGGAAAACTCGATTGGGATCAAGTCCGGGTGTTTGCTTGCTAGCCAACCGTTTTATCATTGAACTATTTAGCCTCTACGTTACCGATATCTCCCGCTTTTCTAATCAAATCATTGGTATCAACGTGAAATCCATTTTCCAGTACTGAATCGGCGCTTCGCCGGTCTTTCGTACTGGCCAAATGTATAGAATTCCTATATAGGTCGTGTCAAGATTCGACGTAACTCACAACAGTAATAATATCATCGCTCGCTCGCTCGCTCGTGAGAGAGAGGTTTCTAGCGGCGCGTTTTCCAGAAGCGGGGAATCGTCCCCGATGATTCGGGACGTCCCGTAATTGCCCGGCGGGCACACGCCTAAGCCCGACGGCGACGAGCGAAACGACGAGCCGCGGACGCTCGCTCACGCGCGACCCGGGCGAAACGTTAAAATGAGTCTCGAAATGGCAAAGTCGCTCTCTCGCCCCGTCGCGCCTCGCCTCGGCCGGATCAACGTATACCGAGCGTCACTTTGTCCCTGACGAAGTTGGCGTTTACGTATGCGAGCAACATCGTCCGGTGGGTTTGGAAGTGCCCGCGGCATTCTGGAACGATGTTGTCGGCCGTGGCCGTTTTTGCCCCGGGGCATCTCGAATACGACAGAGAGACCGTGCGCCTCGCTCGGTTCCCCTTATATATCGGCTCTCGCCAACTGCTCCATTATTCTCGATGGCCGATGGCCAATCGCGCACGGACGAGGTACCAATTGTAGTTTTACGAGGACGAAATCTCCGACCCCGGAGAAAGAGAGACGGAGAGAGAGGGGGAGACGGCCCCGAAAAAGTATCGGCCAGCTGTTCTCTTCGGCGCGAAGGATGCGGAAGCGCGCGGATTTTTCGAAACTCAACGGCGAGTCGCAGCCGGAACGCGAGCGGACGTGAGTGAAAGCGCGCGATGCGTCTCTTCTTTCTTCCGCTCGATACCGTCTTCGCGGTTTTCGGATCTCCCCCTCGGCGGAGATCGGCTCCGAGAGTATACACGCGCGCGTGATAACTCGCACGGATGAAAAAGCCGACGCGAACGAATCGCTCGAAATTGATTCCCGCGTCTCGCGTGAATCTCGCGGTGCCTTGCTTTTTTTTATCGAGAAATTAACGACAAGCGTGGCAGAAATGCGTTGCGCAATCACGACACACCGCCGGGATTTATTATTTCCGTATTAGTCAGCGTGAAGTAACGACGTCGTAAATTAACCGCGACAAGGCTTAATCGAGTCACTTAAAATTTTACTTGCTCCGGTGCCCGCGAATATCTCAATCCTCGTCGGACTCGTGTACGAGCGAGCGCGGTCGCGGTTAACGGATTATTAATTCGCTCTGTGCTATTTAAGTTACGTATCAAAGCCGCGCGAGCTCGGCGGAGAGCTCGGGGAAAGAGAGACATTCGTCCGGGTGATTCCGTTTCTTATCGTCGCTTCTAAATTACACGCGTTTTCGCGTCGTCCTAGGCTTTCACTTTCGATAGATCGAACTGTTATCGCCCTTAGGGCGGAGACAGTATTAGTCACTGGAGCGTTCGCAATGCGACTCTGATAGCCAATAGTGTGAGTGAATCACGTGTCGATTGCAAAGGTCATATTGTATGGTCAAGAGGCTCCCCTCTCTCTCTCTCTCTCTCTCTTTATCTCTATTTCTCATTATTTTCCTCTTGCCCTCTCTAGGACATTTATCTATTCTGTTCCAATACTTATGCAAGCCATAATTGTAAACCGCTGACAACTAGTATGATAATTGACGCTCGAGGAGAACCGTCGCTTTTTAATAAACACACACTGACATGACATTTATCAAATAATCCTTCTCGGAAAGTCACTTCGCGTTACACAATGCGCGTTACGTTATTAATTCTATTACGTGTAATATATTATTGTCGAATTGTACGGCTGGAAATGACGCAACTAATCCGACTCGTGTGAGTCACTAGGTGACATCTAATGTATTCGAGCGAATGTTATCTTGAAGGCATAACGTTTCATGACTGTCGAAGCGATTAAAGGAAGATAATCGATGCCTTCCTTTAGCGAGTTTTCAGGCTTTTTTAAACGAACTATAATTCCGACGAAATTTTATCTACAATTGTATTCGTTAAATGCGAGAATATATGTATTAACGGGAAATGTTTCATTTCAGGAATTTCAATTCCGTGCCCGAAAATTTCGAGAGAAATGTCATCAGGCATGTGAAAAATAACATAGATCAGTCGTTGCAAATAAATAATTATTTCGCAATGATCAGATTATGTTGAATTTTGTAAGCTTAATGACGTTTCTCATCGATTAAGAAAATGTAACATAAGAGTCTCGAAATAATCATTATAAAAACGTTTATTTTCTATTTTTCAAACAGAAACGTTTAATTCCTCGCGCAATCAACTAAGGTATATCTGAAAGTAATTGATTAAAAATTGAGGCGCCACCATCCGCGGTTTGATTCCGATTGGTATAACTGTTTCATAACTGTCGATACGATTAAAAGAGGAAGATCGATACAACGTTCTTCTTTAACGATTTTCAAGTTCTTTTTAGACTATCTATCATTCTACAGATGAAATTTCACTTATAATTGTATTTATTAAACTGCAAATACGTATTCACAGAAAAATGCTCAATTCTAATTTCAGGACTTACGAACACTGAAAAACTCATTTAGTTGACTCAAACTAAATTCTTGTTTGAATATAGGCAAACCAATTTTCGCTATAAGAATCAAAATTTGGTTCTCTGTAATAAAGCTTTGCTTCCCCGAGTCAAACCTTCTTCATTCTCGTCTCAGAGAACCAAATCTTAGTTCTTATAACTAAAGCATTTACATGCCCATATCCCAACAAGAATTAAGTTTGATTCAACAAAATGGATATCTGTGCATTTAAAAATTCCAAGAGAAACATTATCACATAAAGAATAACACAGATAATAACAAATAATGATTTGCTCGCAACAATCAATCCGCGTTGACTGTCACAAGTCTAATAAGAGAGCTTAGGTGCATTTCATAAAAATATATTCCGTTATCACAATCAAATATATTTCTACCCAACAAATATCGAAGAAAATGTCAGGAGAGACATTGATTTCGCAAGATTTCGATCTCTTCATCTCAATAACGATCGAATACCGGTCGTACAGTCTCACCCCCTCCCCCGTCTACCGTATCAACGAGAATATTTCACACATCCGAAAACCTCCCGACGAGATGCAATTCCGATATAAATCGCGAGCGTTACGCGACGTGTCCAATTAAACAACGAAAAACGAAGCGGCGAGCACACACCGCGCGCGAATTACGCCGCGAGACGGACTTAAAAGTCGATACCGTGAGCGATTAACCCACTCTCCGTTCGCGCGCAGAGAGCGCATAGAGAAATGATAAGCGTATCAGGAACAATCGCCTATATCACCCTGCGCAAATGGTCAAAGTGGACGATCGAAGGGGGATTGAAACCCGCGAGAGCGACGGTGGATGCAGCCCAGTCCGGAGAGAATCGTCGCAAGCTCGAGGCGCTTGCCGAAACGCCGCGAGCCCGCCGTGGAACAAAGAGGAGCCGATGTAGGTTGGCGAGAAGGACGAGGACAATGTCGACGGTGGTGGTGGGCCGGCGGTGCCGCTCACGCTGGCTGGGTGGGTGGATGGCGTTGGTGTTGGTAGCGCTAGTGGTGGTGGTGCCGATGTTGATGGTGCCCGGTGATGGAGGTAGGGGGACCGGAGCGCGAGGGACCGGAGCGGCCGAGAGAGCCGCACGCAGTCCGACGAAAGCCGCGGTGGCGCGCGCGCGGCTCGCGCCAACTTTTGTCTCTCGCAGCGGTTAGACACGTGAACGCAACCACGTGGTCAAGTGCGTGACATCGGAGGAAGAGAGAGAGAGAGAGAGAGGAGAGAAAAAGAAAAGGAGAGCTGGAGCTGCTCGCGAGAACTCGGCCGGGGTGCTATCTAGACAGTGACAAGTTTCCGCGAACGCGACTTCGGGACCTCGGGGTGCCGCAATCCGCCGCAGCCGTGGACACGAGAACAACCGTCACCCTGGAGCCCACGTGCCAGAAACGGTGAGCGTCTCATGATTAAGAATTGACGAGTGTGTGCGGGCGTGCTGACACACGGTCACCTGACACGTCAATCTCGTCGCAGTGACTTCGAGAGCCGCGCGGAAAATATCTTCCCAGGCTTATGTAAATTGCCGCTTTTTATGACACGAACGCGTCGAGATCCATTTGTCATAGGATTCGTTGGCGGATCGTTAAATTATGAAACGACTCGCGCGCAATTATTGCCGATGATATGTCGCCGATAATTCCGCGTACCCGGAAATGACGGGGATCAACTTAATCGCGGAATTAATGCGATACACGAGTCGGTCGGAATTGTAATTGCACTGCGGCACAAACCTTGAACGTGATAATTAAACACCGGCGATCGTTATCGCGAGATCGAGGAGAACGCAGCGCGCAAGTTCGCATCACCGAGCGCGCGCCGCGAATGCGATTGTCGTCGCGCGAAAAATTTATAAAGAGAGAGAGAGAGAGAGAGAGAGAGGCTTCGCGACCCGCTTATCTTCGCTCCCGACGAGAACTTTGTCGAAGCTTTTGTTTATCCGCGAAATTCCGACGAGTCCGCTGGATGATAGCCGGCCTAAGAAAGTCGGCAAACGGAAAACGTTACCTGCGCCGACGTTCGTCCGTGCAGAATACCGTCGCCGAAACATCGCGTGACAAACTGATATTCATGTATGGAAATGGTGTACTTTCACGTAGCTAATTATGTCGCTGGTAACCCACGAGGTGCGGCCAAGCACGTTCCGCTACGGAAAGTTCTCTCTAACGAAAGTACCGCGGATAATGAGATAGCAATGGATACGCAGAATCCGTTACGGAATATTTGTTGAAAGCGGCGAGGTGATAAAAATATCCGAGAGACACCCCCCGAGGCTGTTTCGATCGATATTGTTTCATTTCAAATTACACCGAGAGAAATCTCATTGAAGTTACAGTCATTTTCGGCAATTCGACTATACAATGAGAAAAAGTGGTAAAATCGAGGATTTTATTTAAACGAAAATAATAGTGTTGACTGGCTTTCGTGATAAAATCGATTTAAATAGGGCAAAGATGAATAAAAGCCTATGCATAGGTGGATTTAGTTCGATAAAACGTAATTATTATATAATTGGTGATGGCTGATCAAGATGGTTCCAAAAAGGTGAGCTAACCCCGAATGGTTTTCCATCAAAAACTACTTGGTTTATCATCAATACAAGTGTATGTTTCGGGACAGACCGAATTCATGATGTAATTTATAGTGTTTGTCGTATTACAATTGAAGAGAACTTAAAGTAAAGTCGGAACGTCTCGTAATGTTGTATTAAAATTCAATAAATTTAAGTGACCGTCACATGCAAATTTGGCTTCTGACGTCTTTTATATTGTGTGTGAAAATGATTTTAATTTTCTTAACTTCATAAAGACATGAAATCATTATTTTGTATTCCTTCGTCCAGACGTTTTGATCCTAATTTAGACCCTCCTCAGTGATAATAATGTCACGACAATAAACATCAAAACTCAGTGTCATACAAGATCAAGCAAGCCGAATGCCTGAACGCACCTCGCTCAAATATAAAGCCAAATCGTAAGCCTGTCAATCAAAACCACTATACAGCATAAAAATTCCGAAGCCCATAGATGCTCTCCCCAGGAAACATTTTATTTAAACGAACAAAAGTTGTTTACGGTTGCTGTAATGAGTTAATTAATTCAACGATTGCGACTTGGTCAGTAACTATATCAGTGCAATGTATCGTTGCGCCAACGCATAATTCGTCCAGTAGAAACGATATTTATTTAAATGAGGGAGACCGTCGATTTTACCGCTTTTTTTTCTCAATGTATCTTTTTCTAATTTTTACTCGAGAAACAGTAGCAGCAACATGCATACTATTGTCCCTGACAACTATAGTAACATTTGCTAGAAAAATGGTTCTCCCGATTATGATTCTTTCACTTATGCGATTAGAGTTATTACAAATACTAAAAACTCTCTGTTCTCAGTGTGTTATTATTTAATTTTTCACTCAACCTCGATCTCAATTCCAAATCGATTCCTCCTTCGCAAATTCACTCATGTAAAAATTGACAATACGTTCCGAGGTTCTCGGCTACGAGCAGATTTTGCGCAACAATCTTGCTTAGAAACGGTAATTTATTGAAGTTACATTGTGTCTCGCTTGATTATATTCCCGCTGGGTCTCTCTCTCTCTCTCTCTCATTCCTCATTTTCTTTCTAGAACCGAAGCTTAAGGGCCCCGCAATCCTTTACACGTCCTTGAGACGTCTTTTAGATGTCTATTGCGGTAATTTCCCTCCGCGAGAGAACGCTACGCGAACGAACGCCGGGCATAATCACGTATGCGCGCACGTCCGTGGGGCATTTTATACGATTGAGTTAAAGCCGGGCTCGATAGAAAGTCAATCTGATCTCACGACGCGACCGCGGGTAAAGAAAGTTTAATCTATGCCACACGTCCGAGAGGGTGTCTCGACCGCCTGCAGATACGCCACGCATGCAGAAACACGACGGGACAATGCGATTGCTCAATCATACGTCGCATTCCGCCGTCATCGAACAATGGTTACGATCAATTATGCACCTCGCGTCGCGCGGTAATCACACGCGCGATGCAAAGAACCCGGCCGCAGAAAAGCAGAAGGAGGGAAGAGAGAATCGAGGAGATGAAGATTACATAAAAGTTCGCGCAACATTGGGCGATGTACTTTGTGCCGAGTCTCGGGCCGAGTCGCACGCTATATCCCAGCCAAAAACGGAAACGACGACTCTCGTGACCGTGACGAAACTCGCGTGAGCGAAGCATGAATAAATCCCAGGGAAGAGTAAAGAACTCGACGTGAGACTGACAGATCGATGGAAGGGGATCCTTTCGTACACGCGGAAAAAGGAAGGGTCAAGACGCACACTGAGAACAGATTTTCGGCACTTGTAACTGTATTCACACAAGTAAAAGGATTATAGTTGGGGGAATCGTTTCTCTAGCAAATGTGATTATAATTTGCTGATAATAACCTTATACGCATATTGTTATTATTATTTTGGGGTTAAAACCAGAAGAAGACGGAATAGTTGAGGTCGAAAATGACTATAATTTTACACGGAAAGAGATAGTTTGTTGGCATAGCAAATTTTACGTCGTCGCAGCAAAATCTGTCGGTTACTATGTGGACAGTAAAAGGATCTGTTAAGAATACTAATTGCCTTTCACTGGATTATTTTGTTGAATCTACAAAGTATTTTGTTGTGAAAGCAAATTAGTAAATATAGGAAAATATTATTTTGTTTTAATAGCAAATTAAGCGTGTCCTAAGGAGAAATTCACTCAGCAGAATATTTTCTATCCTAATATCAAAACTGTTTCTGCTCTAATTATGAATAATTCGCTAATTTGGTTGCGCCAATTAAATTTTATCGCAACGAATGTGCGATAGGAATGATATGGTTTTGCTACAACAGCAAAATTGATTTTTCCGCGTGTGGTGAGATTTCTTTGAATATAGCTGTGTGGTAATGTTGTTTTTTTATAAACCAAATGTTACTATCGTGTTAATGATAATAACTTTACACGCATTTTGTTATTATTTTTATAGTTAAAACCAGAGACTCGGACCGGAACGGAAACCGTATGAAAACCGATATTTTTATCGGACGGGAACCGTAAACTGTACCGAAATTTTATAAAACCTACAGAACCAGAACCGAAATCGGAACCGTTATATTTTTTTCGGTTTGTACTTCTTTTTGGTTCACTATATATCCAAAAAAATTAAGAGCAGAAGATGGAAATAGTGAAGAAACTCCATCTATATCGAGGAAGTTATATTATTATTTTTTATAATATATTATCGGACACGTTATATATCTATATATATATAAAATTTAAGTCAATAAAAATTTCAATAAAGAAACAAGTTTAAAGAACCAGAACCGAAAAAACCGTAATTTAAATTAAAATTAAAAATTAAAAAGTATCGGTTTACCGATATTTTTATTGTCGAGAAAACTGAAAGTGGAACCTTTATTAAATATTTTAGTCGAGCGGAACCGAAACCGGACCGATATTTTCATTCGGTCCGGCTCCCTGGTTAAAACTATAAAAAAGATATAATTGAAGCCGAAAATAACTATCATTTCTCTCAGTATAAGATACTTAAAAAAGTCGCTTTCTTCAACGGTGCGTTAATATGCACTATAATTTCAGCTGACAAATTTACCTTACACCCGACTCTTAGCAATGACAGCGAAACGGTTAGCCGAACAGTTAGCCTTTTAGCGGAGCCAGCCGGTCGAGAGTTTAACTGACAGTATTGATTTATTTTTCCGCGTACACAAATTGACCTTTGAGCCTCTCGAGATGTAACGTCTACATTCAAATCTGGCTGTCATCAAGGTAGCCAAAATACCCAAAGCGGTTGACCTCTCACCTGGCCGCGCGCGGAGGAGCTGCGCGAGGAGTCGACGAACCGAGGGACACAAACGGAGTATGAATGCGAGATGGGAGATTTCGCTTCGCAACAGATGACACGTAACTGTAAAACCGCGACCGGTGGAAAGTAGCCGGCGTTTCGCGGAGTCGCGGTCCCGTAATTAGCTGGCTGACGCGGAGAGTGATGCAATTTTCAATCATAACGTGTTTAATATCGCACGGCGATGTTTCCTCTCCTCGAAATTCCACCTTTCGTTTCTCATTAGTAGATGCACCGTAGCGCATTCATTCCGTATCGATGAACAGTCGCGATTGCAGTCACGGGGCGTTCGGTTTTTATGACGAAGCGGTAAACGCCGGCACGAACCGGCCGAAAGAGAGAGAGAGAGAGAGAGGCAATCTTGCGCGCGTCAAACGCACGCAGCGCGAGAAATGCGGCGACCGTAAAGACGCGGTTGTTGCGCAACAATAGTAATTTAATTACGCAAAGTCCGTGGCACGCAATCAATGAAATTCCCAGACGCGTCTCTCAATCTCGGAGATACGACCGCGGGTAAA